ATACATACATATGTATGTACATGTGTACCTGTACACACACACACACACGCACACATACACATCCTATTTACTGCAAGTGAGTTTCGACAGTGTTGTGTTTCCAGGTTTTCCTGCTTTGCACAACCCTAAGACCTCAAACTTTAAACCTCCATCTTGGTATGCTCGCTGCTGTAGTACTACCTTACCCAAAGTGCTGATTGCTCATTAGCAATGTGACCGTGCCACTCCCTTTATCACTCACGATGATGCGCTGCTGTAGCACCGCATTACTGTATTGGTGTCTGGTACTTTGATTTTGAGCGCCAAGCTCAATGCTGCTGTTGCTATGTTGTTGTGCGAAGACAGCGCCATTTTCCATGCATGGTGAGTTTGTTGTACTGCTTCCGGGCTATCTTGTGCTGGGAATGCAGCAGTCTCCCATCACCAGTCAACATATTCGGGCCAGTGTCTGTAATATTCAGGCGTTAATAATTTCCTATGCTATTTTTTTTTTTTTGGGGTGAGGGGGGGTGGGGGGTGGGGTGCTTATCATGATTATAGTAGAATATATGCCCCAAAGCCCTATTATGATTATCAAGGCCCCTGCATTATCTTTATTCTGCTGGCAATGCCGCATGCCAGCATAGCACAGTACAATTTTCAACATCGCCGTGCCTGAACCCTAAACCATACACCGCCTATTGTTGACATCATGTCGTTTCAGGAGGTTCCCTTGGCACATGCGGCTAGTCCGGCATCATGCGCCATCTCATCAACCTTATCTAGATTCCTGAATAGTACCCTTTTGCCCTTTGTATTGTATGGTCCCCTTATGAAAACTGAATAACAGAAGAAGGGTACCCTTATTGTTGAGGAGTCACGCAGGAACCTAGCTATACTAACCTAGACCCTTAGGGGTACTTGGAAATAATTTTTAATCTTTGGCTACTATAAACCCTAAGAAACAGCTAAAATTATAATTTTTGCTAGGGGTCTAAGTTCAGTATAGGAACAGTGGTGAATTGACCTTAATCCCTATGCTTTCAGCAATGAACTGCACAAGAGCTGTACCCGCAAAACCTAAAGAGTCCAACCTCAGCCACGGTGTAGGGCTTAGGCGGTTTGGGGCTTAGGGCTTAGGGTTTAGGGTTTAGGGTTTAGGGTTTAGGGTTTAGGGTTTAGGGGGATTAGGGTTTAGCTTTTCCATGGGATGGTAGCATGCTTATTTTCTGTATATTGGTTGACAGAGTTCTGTTCCTTAGGCTCAGCACCCTGAACCCAAACCTTCAACCCTAAGCCCAAACCTTCAACCCTAAACCCTACAACCCAAACCCCAAAAAACTCTAACCCCTAAACCCTAAACCCTAAACCCCTAAACCCTAAACCCTGAACCCTAAACCTAGACCCTTTAGGAGCCTTAAGCCCTAAACCCTAAACCCTTTAAGAGCCCTAAACTCTAACTTTTGAGAGACTGGGCCAAAGTTGCGAGGCCGCCTGTGCCGCCGGGTGGCGCCTCGGGGTACCCGAACCTTTCAGCCTTAAAGCCGCTGGGATGCGATGGCGTTCGGGCGCTTAGGCTAGGGTTTAGGGTTTAGGGTTTAGGGTTTAGGGTTTAGGGTTTAGGGTTTAGGGGTTTAGGGTTTAGGGTGTAGGGTTTAGGGTTTAGGGCTTAGGGCCTTAAAGCCGCTGGGATTCCATGGCGTTCGGGCACTTAGGGTTGAGGGTTTAAAGTTTACGG